GAAAGAGAGAAGGGAGAGAACTTGGACGCTAATTAGTGCAGTTTATTAAACTTACTAAGGAGGGGCGCAGTCCAGTTATTGAGTTTCTGGACTGCTAGGCACATCTTACCTACGTCCCGTTTAATACAACGAGTGCACAAGGCTCAAAATTTAGTGAGCTCTGTGTGGTTAGTTAAGGTGTCTCGAGAGAGATGGCTCACATAGAGACCAAGGACCCGTTCGGCTTTGTGGGCTCGCACGTAGTTCGGAAACAGCCACGAAAGGGTGGAGAGGAGCATGGGTGGCTCACACGGTACGACGAGGGGCTCGACTGCTATACTTTGTTCGTGCCAGGAGGAGGAGAACCTAGATTGTTGGCTCGAGGAGAAGTGATGAAGTTCCTGTCGGCGCCCAATATCGAGCTCCACGATGACGACCAGGAAGAGTTTCCCCCACCTGTGAAAGATACCAGTACAAGTCGGTATTTGGGTGTGAAGTTACGTCGACCTCGGGAAGCTTCAAGTGACAATGAAAGCCACGTAGATGAAGACATACGGGGTCATGTTACATGTTTCTTGCCGTTTGGTGATCGATACTGTGTCGAGTATGAGGACGGCTCAATCGAAGAAATGTCCGAGGCTGCTGTAATTGACGGCATAATTGCTCTGATCAAGTCTCCATTCTTCTCGTCTCCTAGTCATAAAAAGATACAGAATGGATCTGTCAGGACAAGGAGAAGTATTGAAGAATTGGACGGAGAAGATACAGCACATATTCGACGGAAGCGACAGCGGGTTGAAGCACCGACCGATGAAAATGTCCAGGATATCCCGTCCGGGTCTGATGCTGTGGTTGGGAATGTGTCCGACCAGCAACAGGATAATGATATCATTTTAGTTGATGACGCGGAGATGGAAGCTGGTACATTTACCGAGACGGAACCGGCTCCTAACATTTTAGAGATTATGAGTAGCACTTTGGGCAATACTACGCGAGAAAACTCGCTAGAACTGGCCAGTCATCCAGTGGAAGAACCCATTCTAGTCGACGAAGACGAAGTGCCCGGCCAGGATGATACTGTGGTGGAAGTTTTAGAGAATCCTGAAGGACCCACAAGCGGGGAGAATGCAGCGGATACGGTGCCAACTGATGCAGCGGCAGCGAAGAGCAAGAAGGATGCCCCGTTCTACATCATCGAAAAGAAGCCACACGCGGCAATAGAGCCACTTCCAAGACGCGCAATGGCATTTGAGCTTCTCCGAGCGTCGCTGCTGAATCTGCTGGATCAACGCGAGGCTACTGTCGTCAAGATAGCCATGCAGTACGACTTACTACGCAACCCTGACGTGCGAGACCGTGACGCTGTGATCCGCTTTATGGACGCTGACGGATTACTTGTTCTTAATCATCTGTTGAACTCATTTGCGACTGAAGTTCTTGACGACGAGGAAGAGAGCGAAGAGGATACCATGGAAAAGATTCGCGAGCGCATGGAACGAGATGATAAACTTCTTCACGTCATGAAGATTGTCGCGATGCTCCCAACCCCGTCTAGAGACCAGGTGATCGCTTCCAACATAGGCAAGACCATTAATTATCTGACCAAGAAACGCGGCCCACCAGGACGCAAAAGTGTCCTTCCCAAGTGCATCACGGGTCTAGCGAAATGGATCAAGAGTTCGTGGATCAAGAACATTTCACCAGCTCCGAAGGTGTCGCCCAAGGCGGCTTCCAAGCCTCGACAGCCAGCGAATCGGCGGCAGCAACAAGCTCGACGTGGCGGACGTGGTAGATCTTCTGGACGTTCAAGTCACCAGTTGAACAGACGGCAGCCGCCGCCATCACAGCGACCGCAGCGTCAGATCTCGTCGAT